GGGCTCGGCGGGGCGCTGGCGGCAGCACGACCCCTCAGTTCCCGCTGCCTAGCTACCAAGTATCGGTGCCCGAGAACGAGCCGGCGGGCACCACGGTCATCGAGCTGCGCGCGCACGACCCGGACGAAGGCGAGGCGGGGCGCCTGAGCTACCAGATGGAGGCACTGTTCGATGAGCGCTCCAATGGCTACTTCCTCATCGACACGGCCACTGGCGCGGTGAGCACTGCCCGCGCCCTGGACCGCGAGACCAAGGACACGCATGTGCTCAAGGTGAGCGCTGTGGACCACGGCTCACCGCGGCGCTCGGCCGCCACCTACCTCACCGTCACAGTGAGCGACACCAACGACCACAGTCCGGTCTTCGAGCAGTCCGAGTACCGTGAGCGCGTGCGTGAGAACCTCGAGGTGGGCTACGAGGTGCTGACCATCCGTGCCACCGATGGCGACGCGCCCTCCAACGCCAACATGCGCTACCGGCTGCTGGAGGGCGCAGGCGGCGTCTTCGAGATCGACGCCCGCTCGGGCGTGGTGCGCACCCGGGCGGCGGTGGACCGGGAGGAAGGGGCTGCCTACCAGCTGCTGGTGGAGGCCAACGACCAGGGCCGCAACCCGGGCCCGCTCAGCGCCACCGCTACCGTCCACATAGTGGTGGAGGATGAGAATGACAACTACCCCCAGTTCAGCGAGAAGCGCTACCTGGTGCAGGTGCCCGAGGACGTGGCAGTCAACACACCTGTGCTGCGAGTGCAGGCCACAGATCGAGACCAAGGGCAGAACGCGGCCATCCATTACAGCATCGTCAGCGGGAACCTGAAGGGGCAGTTCTACCTGCATTCTTTGAGCGGCAGCCTGGACGTGATCAACCCGCTGGACTTTGAGGCCATCAGGGAGTATACGCTCCGCATCAAGGCCCAGGATGGGGGCCGGCCTCCACTCATCAATTCCTCGGGGCTGGTGTTGGTGCAGGTGCTGGACGTGAACGACAACGCCCCCATCTTTGTGAGCAGCCCCTTCCAGGCAGCTGTGCTGGAAAACGTGCCTCTCGGCCACTCGGTGCTGCACATTCAGGCGGTGGACGCGGACGCAGGCGAGAACGCCCGACTGCGCTATCGCCTGGTGGACACCGCGTCGACCTCCCTGGGTGGTGGCGGTCCTGTGTCCCAGGACCCTGGCTCTCCCCCGGAGTTCCCTTTCCAGATCCACAACAGCTCTGGCTGGATCACCGTGTGCGCGGAGCTGGACCGCGAGGAGGTGGAGCACTATAGCTTCGGGGTGGAGGCGGTGGACCACGGCTCGCCGGCCATGAGCTCCTCGGCCAGCGTGTCCATCACGGTGCTGGACGTAAATGACAACGACCCGGTGTTCACGCAGCCCGTGTACGAGCTGCGTCTGAATGAGGACGCCGCAGTGGGGAGCAGCGTGCTGACCCTGCGGGCGCGCGACCGGGACGCCAACAGCGTGATCACCTACCAGCTCTCCGGCGGCAACACCCGCAACCGCTTTGCCCTCAGCAGCCAGAGTGGCGGCGGCCTCATAACCCTGGCGCTGCCGCTGGACTACAAGCAGGAGCGGCAGTACGTGCTGGCGGTGACCGCTTCCGATGGCACTCGCTCGCACACCGTGCAGGTCTTCATCAACGTCACTGACGCCAACACCCACCGGCCGGTCTTCCAGAGCTCGCACTACACCGTGAGTGTCAGCGAGGACCGGCCGGTGGGCACCTCCATTGCCACCATTGGTGCCACCGACGAGGACACGGGTGAAAATGCACGCATCACCTATGTGCTGGAGGACCCTGTTCCACAGTTCCGCATCGACCCGGACACTGGCACCATCTACACCATGACCGAGCTGGACTATGAGGACCAAGCCGCCTACACGCTGGCCATCACCGCTCGGGACAATGGCATCCCTCAAAAGTCCGACACCACCTCCCTGGAGATCCTCATCCTCGATGCCAACGACAATGCACCCCGCTTCCTGCGGGACTTCTACCAGGGTTCCGTCTTTGAGGATGCGCCACCGTCCACCAGCGTCCTCCAGGTCTCGGCCACAGATCGGGACTCAGGCCCCAACGGCCGTCTGCTGTACACCTTCCAGGGTGGGGACGACGGCGATGGGGACTTCTACATCGAGCCCACGTCCGGCGTGATCCGCACCCAGCGCCGGCTCGACCGGGAGAACGTGGCCGTGTACAGCCTCCGGGCGCTAGCTGTGGACCGGGGGAGCCCCGCACCCCTCAGTGCCTCGGTGGACATCCAGGTGAGCATCTTGGACATTAATGACAACCCCCCAGTGTTTGAGAGGGACGAGCTGGAGCTGTTTGTGGAGGAGAACAGCCCTGTGGGGTCCGTGGTGGCAAGGATTCGTGCCAATGACCCCGACGAAGGCCCCAACGCCCAGATCATGTATCAGATCGTGGAAGGCAACGTGCCCGAGGTCTTCCAGCTGGACCTGCTGAGCGGCGACCTGCGTGCCCTGGCTGAGCTGGACTTCGAGGTCCGGCGGGATTACGTGCTGGTGGTGCAGGCCACCTCGGCCCCGCTGGTGAGCCGGGCCACTGTGCACATCCGCCTCCTGGACCAGAATGACAACCCGCCTGTGCTGCCCGACTTCCAGATCCTCTTCAACAACTACGTCACCAATAAGTCCAACAGCTTCCCAACGGGCGTGATCGGCCGCATCCCAGCGCACGACCCCGACCTCTCAGACAGCCTCAACTACACTTTCCTGCAGGGCAATGAGCTCCAGCTGCTGCTGCTGGACCCCACCACGGGCGAGCTGCAGCTCAGCCGGGACCTGGACAACAACCGGCCGCTGGAGGCGCTCATGGAGGTGTCTGTTTCTGGTGAGTGGCTGCCCCGAGAACCGCAGGGACCTGCCGGGGGCCCGCCCGACGTGCTGGGGCGCATCTGGGCAAGGCCCAGGCAACTCTTTGGGGATCTGTGGCCTCCGGTTGGATGGCTGGTGCCGCAAGCTGGGGGGGTGCTCCGCACCTAGGCCGAGGGAGTGCGAGGGGTCCGACACTGCTTCCGTCAGCACTTTTGCTGGGAGCAGGCCTGGGCTGCTTCAAGTTCAAGACTGGGGGGTTTTTTTTGGCGCTTTCCTCAGTGGGCTGTGCTCCCGATTGTGCTATTAAAAGTTGGTCTCCAGGGTTATCTGAGTTGTCTGGTTTGCCTGGCGATGCTCTGCAGTCAGCCCTCCGCCTGTCTGGAAAGATCAAAGGTCACTGCCCGCCCCATGTGCTGGTTGGAAATTGCTGGATGGTTCCCTGAGTCACCCTGTAATATGGCTGGAGTTCGGTCCCGTGGTGTTTCTTTTCTGTCTCCTCCAGATAATAACAATCCGGCTTATGTGTGCTCGTCTGTCAGGGAGCTCTTTGAAAAGCATAGCCTCGTTTGATCTTGGCTTCTGCTCCCGGACACGGGCTTATAATTTGGGTGTTACTTAGAGGCCTGCCCAGTTTGGTGGTGGAGCCAGTGTGGGAATCCCTCTGGCCTGCTCTGGGGCTGGAGGTGAGCAGAAGAGCGAGGTGGTCTCAGCTCAGCCAGCCTAATGCTTGGCAGCAAAGTGTTGGTGCTCCATGCTGCCGACCCCCGAGTGCTGGACAGGGCCTGCAGGGCCAGGGAGAGGGGACAAATAGAGGGTGTGGGAATTGGGAGACACAGCGGCTCCTTAAGGGGGCCTGCCTGTGGACAGGGTCGGCTGGTGCAGACAGGTGACCTTAATTATGAGACCAAACTATGGCCAAGAAAGGCAATGTTTCGGTTGACTTATTTAAACAATAAATTATTACAACACAGTATCACTCTGGGAGCCCTGCAAGAATTAAAAAGTAAATTCTCTGATTTGTTTTGTTTTCACGGTTGGTTATCAGTTGTTATACGCCAAGGGTTGGATAGCAAACAGGTTCCTGTTTCAGCTGTTTGCTTATAAGATCCGGAACTTACAGGTCCAGTTTTGAAGTGATGCAATCTTTCACCAAGACTTTTGGCAGTGTAGTCTGTCTGCAGGTGAATATTTTAGGTTTTGTGAGGTTGTGAATATGCGTGGGGAATACGGAAGAGGCCCTTAGGGGAAATTGTTAACCAGGTTATGGGTATTCCAGGCAATGACCAGTTACCAAAAAAAGTCTCTTTCCGAAATTCCCATTTGCATTTGCTCAATTTTGTTTCCTCATACTGCTTTATCTGCTAAACAGAGTGGAAAACAGCCCGTGCAGAAACGACTTGGCAACATCGTGGGGTTTTGATTGCACAGGGGACACACGGGGCTTTAGTGGGAACCCTGCATGTGCAAGCAAGGATGTTGTGTGCGCCTGAGGCATCAGGAATGTGGGCCCCGCTGTGGCAGCCAGATAACAGGGCTTAGGGTGGATTTCATTCACCAGAGGGTAGTTACTGAGAGATGGCTTGCCTACCTGGAGGGCTCTGGGCTGGGACCACAGTCGAAGGTGGGCTGGGGATCCATGCTATGTAGGGGACTGTCTTGATGGTCTCAGTGACCTAGGGCTGGCTCCGATTCCGCTTCCGCCACTCAGGCACTGGGCCTCCTGTGGGGATCCCGCCAGGAATAGATGGTTCCTTTTCCCTGGGCTCTGATCGGAGAGCAGGCAGTTTTATAAACTCTAGCACTTACACAGACACTTAGGTGAGCAGTGTTGGGCTTCTTGCCTGCAGGAAGATTCCCGAGGAATGCGTTGCTGCGCTTATTCCGGTGCCCAATCCACGCTCGGCGCCCAATCCGCGCTCGGTGCCCATCGGCGCCGAATCCGTGCTGGGGTCTGAAGTGGGCACCTCGGAGCGCGCTACGACCCTCAGACCACTTGACTGCTGCTGAGTGCTCAGGCGAAGCGCATGGCTGGAAACTCAAATCTATGATTCCAAACAGCAGAGCGTTGTGTAGAAACAGAACAGAAAGATCAGTCTTTGAATGAACCCAGGTGGATGCTTAGGTTTTGTAAAGGAACAATGGAGAAAGCTGTTGTTTGGGACTCACTCACCCTGTTTTCACTGAAGTGTTATTGGCTTTTCGGGATTTACAGCCATGCCCTAAAGCCTCTGATGCATTATTACCGCCCTCGAGGTGCTGGACGGAGGTGTTCTGTGAGAGCCAGGCCTGTGGGAGCCAGGCCGCCGGTGGGAAGGGCTGCGTGCCCCCAGCAGAGGAGCCTGCTGGG